TTCTCTCTTTTGCTAATATATTTCTCTCCCATATACAGCTATATATGCAAACTTGTGTTCACAAAAATAGAGGAAATTATGAGTTTGTTTTAATAATGATAATTTTCTTGATTGTGACCCAGAGTTCAAATCATTGTAACAACATTTATAATACTTCAATATCGGACCCTGCCTAGATCCCACAATTTTAGGAGTCTCATGCACCTTCATGCACTTGATATGAAATTTGCAACCTCTATTTTACGTAGTTTTTATATTTGGGATGTTCATTCATTGTTAGTTTGTCATTTAGTTATATCGTTGCTTGTGTACGTTTTAAGTATGTTTAACTCTCTTATTCAGGTGTTGGGAATGATCGTTTCTCCAACAAGGGAATTATCATCTCAGATATACCATGTTGCAGAACCTTTCTTCTCGACCGTTCCAAATGTTAAGACTGTACTTCTTGTTGGAGGGGTGGACATAAAGACAGACATCAAGAGAATAGAAGAGGAAGGAGCAAATATACTAGTTGGTACTCCTGGAAAGTTGTACGATATTATGGATCGTGTAGACATCCTAGATTTTCGGAGCTTTGAGGTATTCCATGCATTAATCTTTTTTTGGCTGCAGAGCTATTATCTAATTTTTCTTTGTAAAAGTAAGCTATAGAATTTTTTACTGATTGCAAATAGAGTGTGAGGTTTATTGTTGGCTACAATAATTGATAGTGGTAACATTTGATTTGAAGTTCAATCTCGGTGGAGGTTTCTAAAGAAAGCTTCTTGTTTATCAGGATATAACATAAGCATGATCTGGCCACTTTGCTTTTCCCATTAAACTTCATTTAATGTGAATACTTTTTCGTCCTTAATTTTTTTGGGATGTAATATTTTTGTTCTTTTTCGTTTAAAACAGATCCTGATATTGGATGAGGCGGATAGGTTGCTCGACATGGGTTTTCAAAAGCAAATCACTTCAGTCATCTCTCGGTTACCAAAACTCCGTAGGACTGGCCTTTTTTCAGCAACCCAAACTGAGGCGGTTGAAGAGCTTTCAAGGGCTGGCTTAAGAAACCCAGTCAGGGTTGAAGTTCGAACAGAAACCAGAACACTAGGTAATCTGGAATCCTCACAAGAATTAGCTGCTTCAAAGACGCCTTTGGGGCTTCATATTGAGGTATATTTATTGCATGTTCTGGATATGTATTTGTTTATTTTCTTTTGGACTTCATGAAATATTCTTTTCTTGAAACCTTTAGCTTCATATTGAGGTGTTACAATCTGAGTGTTCTCTACAGAGTTTTAAACCACTGGTAGACTACACGTTTTGGCACAAATAACTCCCATTTCCAGTCTGGAATTATTCATGCTGAGAATTACACTCAAAATTGCTAACCCTGACGCTCACACTGCAATATCCCAAAGAAATAAATAAATAAGAACAAGAAGAGAAAAGAAACACTACTTGCAAAAACCTTCCAGCTCTCTTCCTAGGAACTTGTAACGGTATAACACCTAAACCTACACCTTAATCCCTCTTGCCAAACAGGACTTAGTATCAGGTTTAGTAACTCATTTCAGACTGTGTCAGGCTTGTCGCCCTAGGAAGGTGTTTGTTTGCATGCAAAAAATTAAAGTGAGAAAGAGACTCAAATTTAATACTTTAGGGTGTGTTTGGATTTCAATGGGGTTAAGGGAAGTTAAGGGAAACTAGGTGAGAGAAGGGAAGGGAAGGGAAGGGAGTTCCCTTCTCCTTGGTGTAACAAATTTTATACTATTAAGGGGTGAACCAAGGGGAACTAGGGTGAATAACTTCACCTCCTAAATGTTCCCAAACAAGGTGAATGGTTCCCCTAACTTCCCTTCTCCCTTATTCCCCTCAATCCAAACAAGCCCTTAAGTGTTTGTTTGCAAGTAAATGTGAAAGTGAAATGCAAAAAAGTTGTAGAAGTTCGAGGGGCTTATTTTTAGAAACTTTTAACGTATGTTAGCTTTTGGTGGCTTTTGCCTTTTATGATAAAAATTGTAAAAAAGTTGTTTGGGTAGAATAATAATATGTTTGGTCAAACCTAGTTTATGTAAGTGAAGCTTATAAGCTAGTTGGTGAAGTCACATGAAAGTGAAGAAGCGTGCACCGCTTTTAATTAAATTACCTTAATTATACTTATTAGTGAATCCTATATTGCCACATCATCTTCGCATTTGTACTTTC